TAATTTAATATTTGATTTATGTGTCTCTCTCTATGTGTATATATATATATACACATACCATGATTTATTAGAGCAGTAAATTCATTATCAAAAGCATGATAATGAAGATGGCTCTCATACCAGGAGACTTATTCAGAATCCTTCTCCCAAAACACATTTGTCCACAAAATATTTAAAGTTATCTGTTCTACAGTCATGTGATATATTATATATAATATTAAACTTGAATATTAACATTTCATTTACCTTGATGAATATTTCCCTTTAGTAATATATCTTCTGAGTTGTAACAGTCTTTTTTGAAAATCATACAAATTACAATGATCCTGGATTTCTGACATATTTTACTTTTACTTAAAATCAAGTCATACTTCTTTCGTTTTGTATTATATGAAAGCCTAAGCAACTACTACATTTAAAAATATACCATCAGTATGTTTGAAAACAAAATAAATATCTACATATAAACTCCACAGACAAATTAAATAGTGAAAAAAGAATTTTGAATGTTAACAATTCAAGATCTTTTAAAATTATTCACAATTATTTGCATAATTATTCACAATTTTGAGAATATAATTTTTATTTCCTGTATTTCAATTAAAAATTAATTCATAACTAAGTTTTTTTTCTTTGCAGAAATGTCTGCTCTATTCATTTGCTCATAATTATTTGATTATTTCTTTTTTGGTGCTTAATTTTTTTTAGTTCTCTGTGCATTGAATATGCTTACCTTTTATCAGATGACTACCTGGCAGTGATTTCTTCCCCTTCTGTAGGCTTTCCTTACATTGTGGTACTTGTTTCTTCTGCAGACGTTTTGCAATTTGATGTAATTCCATTCACAAATCATTGCCCTTATTTCCTGAGCTATCATCTACAGGATTCCTCAGAGTGATTTTTTATGACTATACTGTGAAAATATTCTTCTAGAAATTCCACTAGTACTTCCAAAGTTTTATGTCTTACACTGAGGTCTTTGGCATCTTTTAAAAGAATTATTTATAAGTAGTTTACAAAAGAGTTTATTTTTAATTGATTTTTATGTTATTATATATATTGATTATATATGTTATTATGAAGGTGATATACAAAGGGGTGGCAGTTACATAAGTAAGGTCATGAGTAAATTAATTTTTGAACAGTGTTACCCCCTCTCTCATTTTCATTGTAAATTTCATTTTCAACACAGTGTCGAGTGAGTAGATAATTGCTTACAGATGTTATTCAACCATTGCCAATTCAATTTTTTTATCTACAAATTTCCAGTGTAATTGCTGCCACATTTTGAGACAGATTAACCAAAGTGAATGCCTAGTGCGTCTCATTAACAGTAATATTCTGCGCATTTTTAGGTTGAACTGAGTGTAAAAAGTAATTACTATGAAAAAGCATACAAGCAAGGATGATCCTGAGAGAGAAGACCAATGAACACATGCCAAAGAAGCTAGATACCTACAGAATGTTTTTTACTTACTAGTAATTAATCCCTTTGAATATTATACTTACTGATTTTTACATCAGGGAAAAGTGTTCAGTATTTGAATGTTTTCTAGCTGTTTTATTTCTTTTTGATTCTCTAGAGCAGTGAAGCCCATTGTGGATATTTAATGAATTGAAACTTTTTTTCATTCTTTGATGTAAAATGGTTTTCAGAAGTAACTTCATAAAGGAATTGTTTTCATTTACATTTCCATTACATATATTTGCTTACAAATACACTAAAAGACATCCTGGAGTGAATATTAGCATATTTAATGTTGCTACACAAGTAATATTCACTGCAATACTTGAAATATGCAAGGAGATGAAACATGTCAAATTATGTATAGAACTGACTTTAAAAAATTTAAAGGATATTTTAACCAAATCATTTAATTCATTTATTCCCTGAGGAAGACAAGAAGGAAGGAAGGAAGGAAGGAAGGAAGGTAGGAAGGAAGGAAATTGATTTCTTAAGACAGGGTGTGGTGACACACAATTATATTCCTAGCAATGGAGAGAAGACAAGAGAATTAGAAGGTCTAGGACAGGTTGGGCTTCAGAAGAAGATAGTGACTCCAAAATAAATTTAGTACCTAATATAATCTTCTAGGTTGGGCAAAGATACAGATGTCAGAGTTGTCTAAAACCAGAAAATTCAAAAAAAGGAGACAAATTCTTATCTCTTCATTTCTCTGTGTTGATAGGGAAAATCAACTAAATATGTACTATTATACTATACTTGCATTATGTTATATTATAGGCTTATTACTATTATTGTTGTTGTTGTTGTTGTTATCATAGGTTTATATTCCAGAAAACAGACATACTTGTGATTGTTAAATGGCAACTGAATCTTTCATTATTTCTATAGGATTAGTATTAGGATTTTATGACCAATGTGAACACAGGTCTGGATTGGAGATGGTGATTTTGTGCAGTGATGGTAAATGTTACTACTAGAATCTGAATCCTTAAAACCCAAGGAAGAGGAGAGACTATTGGAGAATGGTGTGGTTAGGGTTCAAGACTCTGATGTCTTAGGCAGCTAAGAATTGATCCCTTGGACAAGTGACAGAAATTCTGTCTTCTTAAAGATTTTTCTAAAAGTTGAATGGACCTTAGTATATAAAAGTGAAAATAGATTTAATTCTACAAGCAAAGGCTGAGATACTTTTTGGAAATGCTTTACTCAAGTTGAGATACTTTGGGAAGTTGGGGACTTTGCTGCATACATGGATGTCCTAGAAGAATGTATATGAGTCATGCAGGAAAAGTTTAAATTTTAGAAGAAAAATTAGCAAAATTACACATAGGACAGGGAAGAAAACATGCTGTATAGAGGAATTGCAAAATGCAGTATAAATGAGAAAAAAAGCCAAAACAAAAGACACATAATGATAATAGGAGAGTTTGATTAAACCATGTTTATCTTCGAAAACACATTAGAAACATAAACATCCATTGGAAATTAAATTAATACACAAGAGAAGATGTTCCCCAGGGTACACAATAATATTCCTTCTTAAAAGCAATTGACATATAAAAGGACCAAAAAATATTATAGATTTAATGGCATTACTTGAGAATAAGGAAAAGCCAATAAAGATCTAAAAACCCACGCCTCATATTGTTTCAATGCAAATCGATAAAGGTAAGCTGTAAACAAGATGTTCCACTGTTTTTGAAGGATTTCCTTCATTTGGAGGATCAAGATTCAAACTAATTAATCAGAAAAGCCTAAAATTAAGAGATCTCTACCTGAAATATACATTCTTTTCTTTCTTCAATCACATGTATTTCTTAATTTACTAAATTATGAAATTAGACCTTTTCAAATAATGGGAATGGCATTCCTGAAACTCTTTCAGATAGCATTGGAAATGAGTACAAAATAAATCTGAGAATATAGGCTACTTTTCTTAATTTACTAATTTTAAAGCTCTGCCTTGTGAAACACAATAGTATACAGATTAAACAATCTGAAAAGATTTGGAAAATGTTCAAGGAGGGAAGTGAGAGTACAGCATTAAAACATGTATAGTGGAACCTGTAAAGAAGTGTTGACTTCTTCAAATTAGATTATATTAAAATGAATGATTGATTAAGAAAACTTATTTTTGCTTTGTATTTAAATCATATTCATGTGATCTTGCCATTGGCATGGAGGGGGTTAAGTCACAGCCCACTGGCTTTAGACAAACAACAACTTTTACAAAACATCATTATGATATGGGAAATGTAAAAAGGGAATTACATTTTCTTGCCAGAGAATTGTATGACAAAGGAGGAATTGCCATTGACAAGAGGAAAGATATGACGATAATAGTGTATGGAGTAAGTCAGATTTCCTGCTGAACTTAACTCATGTAGAGTAGGTATTAGTGTATTAAAAAAATCACTTTGAACGAAGTAGTATTCCAAGATTTTTTAAAAATATTGTGTAAGTAGAGATAGTTATAAATAAAGCAAAAGTAATGCAAGCATTTTTTTCTTCATTAAGAAATTATTTTCAAAATGACTCTTATCAGAGTACAAAGCTGGGACATAAACATAGTTTGAATAAGAATTTAAAAAGGACTTCCAGGGGAAATTTTTGATTTGAAAAAGTGGGAGCCAGATTCTAGTGACTCTATTATTCCATAGTGGCCCCTAATTCTAGCTAGCTAGCTAGGCTGAGATCTGAGGATCATCATGAGTTGGAGACAACCTGGGCAAATAAATCCATGATATTCTTATTTTCAACTAGCCAGCAGAAAAACAAGACGGCATTCATAGCTCAAGGATTAGCTCCATCTGTGTTCAACAGTAATATACACTAGACACTGTGTTGGAAATAAACTTTACAATTTAGGGGGAAGAAGAATTGGGGAGGGGGGAGAAAAAGGTGGGAGAAAATGAGGGAGGGGGTAGCACTGTTCAAAAAGAAATGTACTTGTTACTTTATTTGTGTAACTGTAACTGTATGATACTATTACAATAGAATTTAAATTTAAAACAAAGCAAACAACAACAAAAGCCCAGTGAAAACATGAGGCTCATTGTTCAAGCTCTAGTGTGAGCATAAAAAGTAAATTAATTTATCAAGGTAAAGAAGAAAAATTATGGACATGACTACAATAACAGAGGAACAAAAACAAGACAGAACAAAACAATAGATAAGATCTGTAACAGAATTCACTATTGAGGATAATGTAAGAAAGCATGGTTTCTCCCTGTTAGGTTTTCCCTTGGAGTTGGTAAATTTATAGCAAATCCAATAAAAATCCTGAAATTTATTTTATTAATTCGTTTTAATGGCCGATATGTTGTTTCACTTAGGAAATCTTAAATTTCATCTTGTCTAAGCTAAGTAAATGGAAACTGTTTAAAAACTCATAAAATACGCCTATATATCTAATGTCAGTAGGATAAAAGTTCAATTTATTTTAACACGAGGACGAATTCACCACCTTACTCGTATTTTATTTGCAGATGGGGAGCAACCTAGAAGAGAAAACTCGAACACCACCACAGTGATGGAATTCATTCTCTTGGGGTTTTCCGATATGCCTCAGCTCCAGTGGGTTCTTTTTGGCATATTTTCATTCATCTATTTGACTATTCTAATGTGCAACGGCATAATAATACTAATAACCAGAATGGACCCTGTCCTTCAGACGCCCATGTACTTTTTCCTCAGCCATTTTTCCTTTTTGGAAATCTGTTATGTCACAGTCACTATCCCAAGAATGCTCAGGGACCTTTGTACCCAAAAAGGAACCATTTCTCTTTTTGCCTGTGCTGCGCAAATGTGCTTTGTCCTTATGCTGGGAGGCATGGAGTTCCTCCTGCTGACAGTGATGGCCTATGACCGCTACGTGGCCATCTGCAACCCTCTGAACTATGCCCTGATCATGAACCACAAGGTCTGCGCCCAGCTGGTGGCTGCCTCCTGGATCAGTGTCATTCCAGTCGTGATCGGACAAACCTATCAGATTTTCTCTTTGCCCTTTTGTGGGTCTAACAGGATCAACCATTTCTTCTGTGACATTCCACCCGTGCTCAAGCTTGTCTGTGGTGATGCGTTCGTGAATAAGATGGCAGTCCACGTGGCTGTGGTCGTCTTTATCGTGGCTCCTTTCCTGTTGATCATGGTCTCCTATGGCAAAATCATCTCCAACATTATGAGATTGACCTCAGCCAGAGGCAGGTCGAAGGCTTTCTCCACGTGCTCTTCTCATCTGATAGTGGTTGTCTTATTTTATGGAACAGCCAGCATCACTTATTTAGAGCCCAAACCAAATCAATATGAAGGGATGGGAAAACTGCTCTCTCTTTTCTACACCATTTTGGTCCCTACTTTGAATCCACTCATCTATACTCTGAGGAACAAGGATATTACCGTGGCACTGAAGAAACGGTTGCATAAGTTACTGGCATGAAGCCTTGCACATCTTGTATGCTTGTCAGTTAGCTACAACAGGAAAGAATATTTCACTTTTTGTTCTCTTCTTCAATAATGAAATTTAATATCGCTGCTAGCTTTCGTATAGCCAAGAGACACTGGTAGTTTTTAGGCTAACAAGAGCCTCTGGTTAATGAGAGTACAAATAAACTCAGTTGCAAATACATCCTTTTGAAAAATTAATCTTCCCTTTCACTGTTAACTAGAGTGAAGAAAACATTCCCTGAACGGCATCAGAAAGATAAGGAGAAATGATTTATAACCATGGATTTGGGTTTTGTTCTGGGATGAGTTTTCTGAATTTTTTACATGCCAGAGGTGTTAGCTTCCCTTTTCTGATTCAGTGCTTTGGTTTTTTTCTATGGTAAATAACAGAGAATCTTAAACTGGTGGATGCAAAGGAGTACAGTCTATGTTATTTTGTTCCTTATCTGTTTTAATTTTCTTTTTGCAGTTTTTATTTCAATATTTATTTCTTTTTAGTATATTTTATTGTAAATATACTGTACAGAGGGGTTACAGTTACATGAGTAATGTAATGAGTATATTTCCTATCAAGCGTTGTTACCTCCTCCTTTGTTTTCCCCCTCCTTATTTTTTTTTCAAAAGACATATCCTGCATGTATTTTGTCTTCTAAGAACCTCTAGCTTAGTGGTCTCTGTGAGTTGAATATGATTTCCTCAAAATTAACTCCATCTAGAAATCCAGAAATCACAGATCTTTGAATAAAGGAAGGGGTTTTTCAGATATAATGAAGTAAGGATTTTGAAATGAGATCACTATAGTTTAGAATGGAAACCCATTTCTAGTGATCCTTAGCTTCAATAGAGAGAATAGAAGAGATTTAGGAAATGGACACAGAGAAAGAAAAATGAACGACTTGTAAAGAAGAAGGAAGACATTGTCACAAACCAAGGAAGGTGGAAAGATCCCCAAGGATAGAGAACTGAAGGAAGGAGTTTTCTTTGAAACCTTTAGTGGGTCAGGTGCTGGTTGCTCACATATATAATCCTAACTATTTAGAGGCTGAGATCTGAGAACCCTGGTCCAAAGCCAACCCAGGAAGAAAGATTCATATGACTCTTCAATTAATAACCAAAAATGCTGGAAGTGGTATTGTGGTGGTTCAAGTGGCAGAGTGGTAGCCTTGAGTGAGAAAGCAAATGGATAGAGGCCAGATTCTGAATTCAAACCCTCATTGTGGAACCAGACAAACAAATAAGGAAACTATTTTGAGGAAGTTGAACTTACCTCAACAATTGTGAGAGACTAATTTTATGATTATTTGGGTACCTAACTTGAGATAACTATTCAACATACAATTAGAGAAATAACATACTATTAAATTAATAATCACCTTAAAGTTTTGATCTCTTAAGTCATCTGAAATTAACTGTCTCCTGTCTTGTCAGAGCTGATAATGTTCCCTCTACCCATATTTTGATTGTTACATCAAGAATATTTAGAATATTTTTAAATTTTATACATTACTTCCTATGAATTCTTCCTTTAATTAATTTGCTTGATATATTATTTTCCAATCTTCAATTCCAGGCAGTATATGCTCTTTTCCAGTTAGATATGTTTCTTTTTATTTATTTATTTTATTGAGAAAATACCATAGAGAGGGGTTACGATTACATGGGCAAGGTAATGAGTACATTTCTTATCAAGCATTGTTGCTTGTTCCCCCTTCCCATACCTTCCCATCTACCCTCTGCCCCTCAGCCAAAGTTGTAAAGTTTGTTTTTTGACATAACAGCTTGTACATCTCATTGTTGCAATGGGTCCACCTGTATCCCTATTTAAATGATTTGTTTTTTCCCTTCCCTTCCACAAATTATACCAACATCAAATACAATGAAAGCAGGGGTTATACCATGGGGGAGGGACATACAAAGCAACAAAGAAATATCTTATAAATATGTTAGAAACAATTGCAAGAAAGAAAAAACATTTGAATACTTATCTTGGGGTTCATTTCACCTAACATCAACTTATCTGATCTTTTCTACTTGTCTCAGACATATACTAGTTATTGCAAATAAGGGAAAACATGGGACCTCTGTTTCTTTGGGCCTGGTTTACTTCGCTTAATATAATTTTTTCCAAGTCTTTCTATTTCCTAACAAATGGGGCAATGTCATTCTTTCTGATGGAGGCATAGAATTCCATTGTGTATATATACCACATTTTCTTGATCTATTCATCTACTGACGGGCATCTGGGTTGGTTCCATATCTTAGCTATTGTAAATAATTTTGCAATAAACATAGTCGTGCTGGTAGCTTTAGTATGGTCTTGTTTGTGATAATTTGGCTAAATGCCCAAAAGTGGGATTGCTGGGTCATAGGGGAGCTCTATGTGAAGTCTTTTGAGGAACCTCCATACTACTTTCCAAAGTGGTTGAACAAGTTTAGACTCCCACCAACAACACAGTAAGGTTCCCTTCTGTCCACATCCCCTCCAGCATCTGTTGTTATTAGAGTTCTTGATTATAGCCATTCTAACTGGGGTGAAGTGGTATGTCAATGTTGTTTTGATTGGCATTTCTTTTATGGCTAGAGAGGTTGAGCATTTCTTCATGTGTCTATTGGGCATCCTTCTTTCCTCTTCAGAGAGGTTTCTCTTTAAGTCTTTTGTAGAGAAACAACAGTTGAATCTTGTCTTTCATAGATAGATGATCTTATTTAGAAATGTAAGACCTTTTATAATTAACAATACTATTGAAAAAATATTTTCTGGTCCTTGTGAATTTTGTTCGTTGTCTTCCCTGTTGACTGTATCACTTTTTATTCTTTTATTTTTTCTCACTCTCATTTATCTGCAGAGTTGAGTTTTAAACTCATGGATTCTTTCATATGATCTTATGTACATCTATTTCTCCTATGAAATTTATTCTGACCTAATCTCTTTTGTTATGATTACCTTTCCTATGGGAAGTATTTCTTTGTGTATATTCGGAAATTTAGTCTTAGTGGCTAGAAATTGTTTTCATTTGTTTACATTTTAAAGTCTTTATTTCACATTCAGTTTTAAAGGATAAGTTAGCTGGGTATATTATTTTTGGTTTACAATTAATTGTTCCCCATGTTTTAACTATGGCATTATATGTTATATCTTCTGTGGTTCAACTGAGTGATTCTTATCATTTGCTCATGTATATAGTTGGACTCTTTTCCCCTCACCTCTCAGTATCCTTTGCTTTGTCATTTAGCTTGACATTTCATGTTTGATATGATATTTTCTGATCTACATTCTCTGGGGTCTATATGCTCTTTGTACTTGGATACTTATTTATTTCCCAATATTTGGATAAGGTTTTGCTCCAATTTCTAAAATACCCTTCTTATGTCTTTAAGCTTGTTTAATGCCTACATCTTATTTTCAATGAATTCATCAGATCCCAGAATTCTTCAAAGTTGTATGCGTGCTTATTTCTTTTCTTTTTCTTTTTTCTTAATTGCAGTTAAAATGTAATGTTTCCTTTTGAGAAAATGGGAACTTCAACCTGCTCCCGGTAGGAAAGCAGAGGACTGACTTCCCATGTTATATGTCTCTTTTGTTGTTGGTTTCCCATAAGAAATAAAATCCAAAGCAGTGGTGTGTTGCTCTAGTTCGCTTTGTTTTATTCAGAATTCCAAAGTCATGTGGGTATCTGTGACTCGATCATTGCCAAGCTGTGCTTTCATTGGCAGAGCATAGAGGCAAAATCCAGCAGATATCCTCACACTTAGCTGACAGGGAGAATCAAAGAATAGGTACTGTAATTCCCACAATATTAAAGCTGAATATGGGAAAACAATTGTAGCAATTCATCATTCCACCCAGCAATGGTCAGGGCATAATTGGCCAGTGCCATTATGTTGTTGACAAAAGTCAGGGTAGGGATTAGCTGAAAGACAATGATTTCTGTTCTAACCTTTCTAGGCTCCTGAGAGAAATTGAATCTGTACTTCAATGCCTCAGCCCAAAGATAAACACAAAAAGAAAAATATATAAACATCTTCATCCCATATCACATCAGAAAAAATTCATTGTCTACTGCTCATTTTTGTTTATCTTCTATGAATTTATTTTATTGGTTAGCATATTACTATTATTAGTACTTTGGAGGAAAAACTGGGATTCAAATTCAGGGCTTCAACCTTTTCAAGGCCTATACTCTACAATTTGAGCCATGCATTCTGCCTTCAGTTTTGCTGTTATGTTAGAGATAGAATTTAACAATCATTTCTATCTGGGCTGGCCTCCCAAACTCTGTATCCTAAATAGCAAGAATAGCAAACATTAGCTAGCATCACAAAGCCATTCCTACTATTTCTTTATAACTGTGGCAAATATTGTTTTCTTCTTAAAATTTGCTTCTTTTTTTCTTTTGCCCCATCCATCACTTATATTATTAATCATTTAAATAACTTCTAAATATCCCTAGTGTTTCTTACAAAAGTACCCAGATTTTTAATTTTCTAAGTTTCCTGATAATATTGTTCCAATTGTATTTTACTATATTGAAATGTGTAGTTTATTGAATTATTGCTGATTTCCTATTATGTGCTTTCTCTTTTCTGAACAATAGCAGAGAGTTTTACTAACTCAAGAAAATTAATTCAAAAATTGGTAGCTATCACAACAAAGTAGAAATGTAAGTGTTTATTTTTCTTCTTTGCTATTGTTTCTAACATTTCTATAAGGTACCATGTGATTTTTTTGTTGCTTTGTATGTCCCTTCCCCATAGTATAACCCCTGTTTTCACTATATTTGATGTTGGTAAAATTTGGGGAGGGCAAGGGAAAAAACAAATTGTTTAAATAGGGATACAGATTTACCCATTGCAACAATGAGATGTACAAGACACTATGTCAAAAAATGAACTTTACTATATGGGGGGGCAGGGTGGGGGGAGTGTAGCTGAGGAGATGGGAGGGAAGGGATGGTAGGGGGAAAATAAAGAAGGAGGCAAAGATGCTGGATAAGAAATGTACTCATTACCTTGCTCATGTAACAGTAACCTCTTTTATGGTATTTTTACAATATGAAACTTAAAAAACATGCCTAAAAGCAAAACAATCATGACACCTCCAAATGTTTCCAGCCATGTGTTAACAGAATCCTAAATATAGAAACAGCTGAAATATTAAATGAAGAACTTAGAATTCTTGTCTTACAATTGATTGATAAACTCAAAGAAATGCAAATAAAAAATGAAAGATTTAGGACGTCACATCAAGAAGTGGTCAGTTGGGTGCTGTTGTATCACCCCTGTGATGATAGCTGCTTGGAATGTTGAGATCTGAAAGCTGAGGTTCAAAATAAGCTTAGGAATTAAAAATAAAGTGAGATTCTGATCTTCAATTAACCAACATTAACCCAGAAGTAGAGATGTGACTCAAGTGGTCAGTGCTAGCAATGAATGGAAAGAGGAGAGAGAATGTGAGGCCTTAAATTTAAACTGAAGTATGCACACAAACACATTCACACACATACACACATACACACACACACACACACACACACGCACACACACACGAATGAGAAATTCAGGAATTTGAATAAGAACATAGGAAACTCAGGAAGGAATTTTGAGATTCTGTTTTGTTTTTTCTTAAAGAACTAAACAGACACTTAGAGCAAAATTCCCAAATATCCAAATAAGTACCAGAAAAAAGTAATTGTCTAACAAGTTGGAAAAAAACATATTGATGCTTCATCTCATTATAGTCATAATTATTACAGTCGAGAAAAATTGGTGCTGAATATATGTTTTTAATAATCCAGATTTTGTTATCCAGAGATGATTTGCTTTAAGTTCCCTATGAGTTAAATCAATAATAAAAGTCACAATTCTAAAGAGGGTTCTACTATACTAAATAGCAAAGGGCAAGCATGGCATGTATGTGTCAGTGAACAAGTGTCAAATTTTTCAGTAGTAGGAATTTGTACAAATTAAGAAAAATATATTGTGAGGAAAAGTCCAGATCGATTTAAATGCAATGACTAGAAATTCTGTACCTTTTTTTAATTGACACTAAAACTAGACAATTAACTACTATTTCACTGTCCCAGCCTCTCCCAGTCCAGCAGTAGTAACCATGTGTACATGATGGATTAATAAAATGGACTGGTCTACAAAAGATCCTAGTTTTTAGTTTTTTTTTTGGTCAGTCATGGGGCATGAACTCTGGGCCTGGGCACTGTCCCTGAGTTCTTCAGCTCAAGGTGAGTGCTCTACCACTTGAGCCACAGAGACATTCGCAAGATCCTAGTTTTGAATAATGAACCTGGACAATGGCCAAGCAGGGCCATTCTCTAGAAATTAAATTGGCACACAAGAGAAAATCATCCCTAGGGTCAGTGTGATGAATTTTATTTAAGAGCAATTTAAGTTTGAAGCGAGCAAAGATATTGTAGAAGCAGTGTGACTTTCTGAAAGAGGTTAAAACTTTATAGACTAACCATTACTTAGATTCTTTTAGACCTCATCATGCAAATTTATCAAGGTAAGCTTTAACAAGTCTGTTTGAATCATGTATTTAAGGATCATTCTGAATTAATAAAAGTAAAGGCATGAAAGTTTGTGTTATTTATCTGCAAAGGAGTCGTTAAACTATTTAATGCATAAGTATTATAACTTTCATCACTAGATATATGTCAAGTGCTAGTCAAGACATTAACAATAAAATATTTAATATAAACTAAAGGACAAATATGAATGGAACATGCATATATTTTAATATAAAAGTCAATACATACATTAAATATTAAGATGCATAAATGCATAATAACAAGCACATGATCTGATTAGTTTAGTAATTCTATATTTATAGTAGCTAGGAAAAAAGAAGAAAATATCTATTTCTTTTAAATATTGAAGAGAGCTAGCATTAAGGAAATATGCTGGGAATGATGAAGCTGTGTAGAGTGATTTGTATTGGATGATACACTTCAGAAGCAGTAAAGGTGTATATTGATTTAATCTGAGATTTCAGTTTCAAGAATTTAGCTTCTTGTATGGCCAAAGTAAATAATAATTGAATTTACTAAAAGCTCTACTTTTAGAAATAATGTTATTGAAGGACAAAAGAAAAGGAGTTTTATTAGATAGTAAAGGAGTGAACATATTATTTATAAGATGACTTTTTTTGTTGCTTTGTATGTCCCTCTCCCATGGTATAACCCCTGCTTTCAAATTCCCCTGCATTTGATGTTGGTATAATTTGTGGAGGGGGAGGGAAAAAGCAAATCGTTTAAACAGGAATACAGTTGGACTCATTTTAACAATGAGATGTACAAGATGTTATGTTGAAAAACGAACTTTACAACTTTGACTGGGGAGGGTGTAGGTGGAGTAGGTGGGAGATGGGAAGGGATGGAAAAGGGAAACAAAGGAGGAGGCTACAATTCTTGATAAGAAATGTACTCATTACCTTGCCCATGTAATTGTAACCCCTCTGTAAAGTATTTTCACAATAAAAATAATAATAAAAATTATTAGGTGCTAAGGTTATTATTAAAAATTTTAAGCCACACATGGAAAAGAATATAAGTATAGTAATAATATTATGAGGAATCAGTTATATTTATTTTCTGAGCACTTGGCTAATACTTATATACTGTTCAGGAGGCATTAATTAAAAATGAATGTTTTTCATAATTATTGTTAAAGAACGGAAAGATATACAAGAAATAAAAAACAAACAAAGAAAAGGTATATAATAAATAAATAACAATGAATACATTTTCTCAGTGACAGACTTTTGAGAAGGAAAATTGGTTGTCCACTGTGGTAAAATACAAAGGACCTAAACTCATTTAGAATAAATAAGGAAAGAAATGCAAGAAGAGTCACACAATTATAGATACAGAGAAAAATACTCAGAAGAGTCTAAAGAAAATGTATGTAACATAATTTCAATAAGAACAAAATGATGAGATATTATTTCTCCACCATCTGCTTGCAACAATAACTTTTACTTTTCAATAACCTGGTCATATTATACTACGTCTAATAAAATGAGTCTTATTTCTTGAATGGAACTTACTTTAATGGCAAAACCAGTGCATCCTAAAGCTTGACTTCGCAACTTATACAATCAGAGCCAGAAAATGGGAGAAACCATTTAAGAGATTGCTTTCACATGTTCATGCATTCACATGAGTTAATGGGACGCCAGTGTAATACCAACCTGGTGTAATTAATCATCTTGAATTTACCACCTCTGCAGATGGAGAGAAAATTAGAACAGAAAACTCTAATATCTCTACCGTGATGGAATTTGTTCTCATGGGGTTTTCCGAAAATCCTCATCTCCAGTGGATTCTTTTTGGGATATTTTTACTCATGTACGTGACTATTCTGATGTGCAACAGCATCATCATACTGCTAACAAACCTTGACCCTAATCTTCAGACGCCCATGTATTTTTTCCTTAGCCACTTTTCCTTTCTAGAGATCTGTTATGTGACAGTCACCATCCCCAGAATGCTCATGGACCTTTGTACCCGGAAAGGAAATATTTCTCTGTTTGCCTGTGCTGCCCAGATGTGTTTAATCCTTACTCTTGGGGGCACAGAGTGCCTCCTACTGACAGTCATGGCCTATGACCGCTATGTGGCTATCTGTCACCCCCTGAACTATGCTCTGATCATGAACCAAAAAGTCTGCGTGCAGCTGGTGGCTGCCTCCTGGATCAGTGTGATTCCAGTTGTGATTGGAGAAACCTATCAGATTTTCTCTTTACCTTTTTGTGGGCCTAACAGGATTAACCATTTTATCTGTGATATCCCTCCAGTGCTCAAGCTTGCTTGTGGTGACACATTTGTAAATGAGGTAGAAGCCAATGTGGTAGCAGTGGTTATTGTCACTGTGCCCTTTCTGTTGATCATTGTCTCCTATGGCAAAATCATCTCCAATATTCTGAAACTGTCATCAGCCAGAGGAAGGTCAAAAGCCTTCTCCACCTGTTCATCTCACTTGATAGTTGTGGTCTTATTCTATGGGACAGCCAGTATCACTTACTTACAACCCCAAACCAACCAGTCTGAAGGACTGGGGAAACTGTTGTCTCTTTTCTATACTGTCTTTATCCCGACTTTGAATCCAATCATATACTCTATGAGGAACAAAGACATCCTGATGGCACTAAAAAAATTAAAAACCAATAGATTGAAATGAGAACTTGAAAACTGAGAAATGTTACTTTACAGTTATGTCAATTAGTTAAGAGAACATTTTGCCCTTATATTCTTTAAAAATAATAATTCATTATAGATTTACCATCACCATTGTACCCAGGATTTTTCTTTTAAGGATTTCAGTGTTACCAAAGTAGCAATCAGATCAATTGTAAAGATATAGTTTGACACCAAATTTTCCTTTCATTTGTAATTTTGGTGAGACGTGGCCTGAATAGCACAAGAATAGTTTAATGGGGCTTATGTTTGTTTGTACTACCAGACAGTGTTTGTAGCCAATGGAGAAGGTATAGATTCCCAATCAGTATCCTTTCCCTCCTTCTGTCTTTATTAGCTTATTGTAGTAATCCTTCTCTTAGTGTGTTAGGGAAACATAATTTTTTCTTTGGGAATGACTTTATAGTAATAGAAATAATTTACATGTAGCAATAAGTATTATTTATGACAACCAAATAATAGTATTCTTTTAAAAATTAATATTGAGTATGCATGTACTGCTTCTATTTTTTCTCTATTCTCCAAAAAATAAAAAAATTACATCTCCCATGTTCTCAGCCCCCTAATGACCTCAGACAGCAGCCTTCTTACACCCACCCTCTGAGTGGCTATGATACATGTGTGTAACACCATGCTTACCATGTTTTTGATAAAAGGTCTCACTAACTTTTTGCCTGAGCTGGCCTTGAATAATATCCTCCTGTCTCTACCTTCCCAGTAGCTGAAATTACAGACATATGCCACCCATTCCCCACCCCCACACACATTTTTTTCTTGGTGTTACTGGGATTTGAAGTCAGAGATTCACACTTGTTTTATTTGCTTTCTCGGTTGGTATTCTGCTACTTGAGTTGAAACTCCAGACCAGATTTATGATGATGCTTTGGAGAATGACTCTCCTGGAGTTTTCTGCCTGAGTTTGTGTTGATCCACATTCCTTAGGCTTTCAGCCTTCTGAGAAGTTGGAATTGTCAGTGTGAGCCATTGAAACCTGGCTGTTCTTACCCATATTTTAAACTACAATTTTTTTATTGAATGTCCAGTCTTTTGCATATATTATTTATTGAATGCATCATCTGTTGCAGACACAAATCTGTTAACCTGTTCAAGCATTATAAAGGTGGATTTATGTTTCATAATAGTTTACTAGAAAAGTACAACTAAAGACCAGAAGAAGTAACTTTGTAAATTAAAATGCATTAGTAAAATAATTTTATTAGAAATATCATGACAAAAATTTAAAAGGTTTTGGTATTTATTCATCCATGTATGATATTAAGAGTTTCTAATTTTTATTTAGTAATAAAGAATATGACAATATCATATAATATAAAATAATACATGTTCAAATTTGAAGCCATAAAAATGTGGTACATTTTCCATGTAGCTTCAAGACCAACAGAGATACTTCATTGACTTGAAAATTATTCTTTGGAACTTCTCTTAACACTTAAATTTATTTTTCCATTTTTGAATATGTAATTATGTCATCTAACATGTAATTTTGTGTTTAACTTATTCCACATCTATGAATCCGTAATGCCTCATCATTCAATAATACCTAGTTCAAAATTTACAGCTGTCAGAATGCCAGTTGATTCGTGCTGTGAACAAGATTTGTATGACATTCCAAAGGAAAAAATGTAAATAGAAATAAATGTAAATGAAAAGAAATTTGTAAAATTGAGCAAAACTGTTTAGAAACATCAGAACAATAAAATGTTCATTGACTTCAGCACAACCAGGTCATTGAAAAAAGTAATCTGATAAACACACAACAGGGAATGAAGAAATCTCAAACTTTAAAGTATCTCTGTCCTAAAGATATACTTTAGGATTTTTTTCTGTTTGGAAAATGTTTAAAATAAGCTCAAGCATAAGTATTTCAAATGTTTCAAGGAATATCAAAAACTATGATTTTCTGAACTGGTCTAGGCATTGGAAAATTTGCTATGACTCTAGTGGTTAGTCCAGTTTCTAGTCTTATACCCAGAGGAGTGACAGGACAGAAAATGTGTATTTATATGCATTGTACCTCCTTAAGAGAATGATCCCTTAAAATATTTCCATTAGTCTGTCAAAATCAGAGAAGTCACAAATATCTTAGCTGATTGTCCGCTGTGGGGAAGAAGTTACTGGTGGAAGCTATGAAGAATAAGGATTAGAATTTAGGAGAAGGATTAGGGTGCAAAGGAAGATAATTTACTAATAATCCACAAAACATATGAAATTATCTTTCAGTTGTTTTTACTCAGTGGTGACATGAGAAGATACCTACATTCCTGAGGGATTTGCCTTGAACAGGGCAACCCCACCCCTTACGTTTTCACTTTGGATGGGGATGGTATGTGCATGCAGCTTCACTGAATGACAAATAACATGTATGTAGCTACCACAAGGTAGATATGTGGTAGATGCTCAGTAATGGGTCTGTAAATGTTGGAACTCCAGAAGCTGAATGCTTGCTCCAGACAAAAACAAAAACTTCTGTTAGAGAAATGTATAGATGGAATAACAAGTCACTGTTTTCCTGAAGTGACTCCAGGATTAAAAGTTTAAAAAAAAACTATCTTGTATGCTTAAAGAGAACAATTCAAGTTATGATACCAATTCTACTCAAACTGTTCAGAATATTTTATAGTAAGAAGAGTGCTTCCAAATTTATTCTGTAAGGCCAACACTGTCCTGATCCCTAAACTAGAACAAGATAATACCAAAAAGAAAGAAAAAAAAGGGACTACAGGCTAATCTCACTCAGATAAACAAAGTCTTTACCAGCACATTGAAAAGTCCATTCACCCTGATCAAGTGAGATGCTGTCCAAGGACACAAGGATGGCTCAGCATATGTGAATCAGAAGTCACAATGGATCACATTAGCACAACACAGGTCCTAACCGTATTATCATTTGAATAAATGCAGAAAAGCATTTAACAAAGATCAATATCCCCTCATTTATAAAAACTCTCAGTTCAAGCTTAAGGATAAAAGACAGGTGTCACTGCAGCCTGATGAGGCTTCTGAGGTACAGATTGAGAGCAGCCACAGCTGAGAAAGGCTTTGGTCATTCTATGTCAAGAGTGTGGACAGCTATGGGGTTTCTGTGCCTAGCAGAACTGGTGTGAGAATAAACCAGGGGCTTTAAACACACTTCTTTGTATATATATAGATATAGATATATACCAGAACTGGGGCTTGATCTCAGGGCTCAAGCACTGTCTCTGAGCACTGAGAATTCTTTTTTCTTTTTCTTTCTTCTATTTTTTCTTACTCAAGGCTCTGCCACTTAAGCCACAATTCTACTTCTGGCATGTTTTGTCATTTACTGGAGGTAAGAGTCATGCAGAACCACAAACAATACAATAAAAATCCTCTTGCTTCCCTCTCTTGGAGTTCACTGGTGGCTCATATCTTTAATCCTAGTATTCAGAAGGCTGATATAAGAACATTGCAATTCGAAGCCAGCCTGGGCAGAAAAGTCAATGCGACACTTTTTTTCTTCTTTTCTTTTTTGCTTTGGTTTATTCCCTTCTGTGGCTGTTTTCGATTTCTGTTCCTTTTGTCTTGTGTATGTTTACCTGATTTGGGGTGGGGGAGGGGAAGCACAGAAAGACTGAACCAATACAGCAGTGAAACTCACTAGATACTATGTTGGAAATGAACTATACAACTTGGAGAAGGAGGTGGGAGGGAAAAACTAGTAGAGAATGGAGAAAGTGACACTGTTAAAAAGGAAATGTATTCATTGCCTGACATATGTAACTGTAACTCCTCTATAGGTTAGCTTTATATTGAATCTGTTTCTAAAAAAGAGTCACGCAGACTTTTCTGCTCAGGCTGGCTTCAAATTGCAACCCTCTGATCTCAGGCTTCTGAGTAACTAGGAATACAGACTTGAGCCTTCAGTGCCAACTATGGGCACACTTTGGAGCACACCATGACAGTAAGGAACCAAAAGAAAAGCAGAGACTATAACATCAAAACACATTAATTAGAGGAACTTAAAGGCATGGTTGAAGATATTATGTTTCAATTTTAGATGACAATTTCAGGTGCTCTGACATCTCATATTATCAATATGCTTTCTCACAATTCATTTTCCTAAAGACTACTCCCTGGAATCTTCTAAGGTTATATCCACAAGAATTTAACATATAGATATGAACTATAAATGTAACATTTGTCCTACTACTCTGAGATCATAGTTGTCTTCTGCAGTCACTATTTCTAAATTTGTTTTTGGTGTTTACTGTTCTCAGTATCCTAAACATTCCACTAGTGCCAGCAATTGGTGGACTTATGAAAGAGAAAAGTATATATAAGACATGAACCTAGAATTATGCAAATGCCTGGAACAAAATAAGGGAAGTAAATGTCATTTACAATAGCAATAGAACAAAAATTCAGGAATAAATTTAACTTTATTGTTCAAATTAATAGCCATAAAATATGGGTAAAAGAAGTTAAAAATAAATTGTGATATGCTTATTTACTAGAATAATAAATATGGATGTATATGCATGCTACTCAAAGTGACTTACATATCACATTAAAAAATTATTGCCAAATTTGTAATAAATTACAAGTGAAGTTTGCATGATCTGGTTTCTGAGGGTGAGGATGACCATTTGAGATTGGAAAGAAACACATGGCCTTTGTATTTCCTTGGCAGTATAGAAGTTTGAATTTATGGCCTCACAATTGCTAGAAGGCAATGTTACCACTTGATTAACACCCATCCAAACCTATGACCAAATACTTCTTCTGTCTATTCTGTTTGTTTTGTTTTATTGTTTGTTTTTGCTTTGGTACTGGGATTGAGCTCAGGGCTTGGGTGCCTTTCCTCAGATTATGTTTGTATTTTTGGCCAAAGCTAGCATTTACCAGTGAGCCACATCTCTTTTTCTGACTTTTTGTGTCTATGTGGATATAGTTAACTAGAGATAAGAGCCTCAAAGACTTTCCTAACTTGTATGGCTTCAA